AAGATAGCTCTCCTACCACTGACATTTACAAGCAGTTCTTCATACAGGCTTGTGCAGTCATTCTTCCTCACAGAATACTATGTAAGCAGTCTCAAGTGTCTAAAAGAGGCCATCTTTAATGAAGCATCAAATAACATAGCAAGGAAAACGTTGATTTGTATCAGGCATGCTAGCCTAGGATATATGTACATCCAACCCATTCCACCAGGCCTCCAAATGTTTCCTTTCACCAACAGTCAGCATGAGATAAGCAGATGGTCAAGGATGGACCTCTAAGGATTTGAATAGGAAGTGAGAGTGAAGTGGGATTAACTGCCAGGAAACATGAAAATGTGTGGCACAGTATTACTGACAGGGCTATCTACAGAAAACCAAGCACAGCACATTGTCTGTGTGAGGGCTGCAGAAGGCAGGAATGTCTGTCAAACAGATCTTAAAAGTTATATGACATGCAAGGTAAACCATTTCAAATTTTCACAACTCTCAAACAGAATAGGAGTAACGTATGAGTAACGATGCTGCATCTGTCCCTGGCCGGCACTAAGATTCAGAACTGAGCTATCAAAAACCGCTGATGGCTCAGTTCTCAGTGCTTCGTGAGCAGGGAGCTGCCGACAATAAAAAGGCTGGGGTCATGTGCTCTTTAGAAAGCGTTCCAGTGATTTTCTTTCGTTTTATTTTAGCACATTTTTCAGAAAATAATCAGGATATCATGAATGTTCTCAGTCCAAGAAAGCAGGGTTTTAGTCAAAGAGAGGTTTGTACCAATGATGTGGAATACATTGTATAACTAGAATCAAGATGACTTCATTGGCTACATGCCTGCTATAGATCGGTGTCTTACTAGGCAGTAGTCAGATAAGTATGACCACCATGAAGCATATACACTAAAAACAAGGCAGTACTTGCAGATCCCGTATACACTCACCGGCCACTTTATTCGGTACACCTGTTCAATTGCTTGGATGCTAATCAGCCAATCACATGGCAGCAACTCAATGCCTTTAGGCATCTAGATGTGGTAAAGATGACTTGCTGAAGTAAAAAAAGAGCATCAGAATGGAGAAGAAAGTGGATTTAAGTGACTTTGAACGTGGCATGCTTGTTGGTGCCAGACGGGCTGATCTAAGTATTTAAAAAATTGCTGATCTACTGGGATTTTCACACACAACCATCTCAGAGAATGGTCCGAAAATATCTAGTGAGCAGCAGTTGTGTGGATGAAAATGCCTTGCTAATGTCAGAGAAGAATGGGCATTCGATATCAGCTGCGATATTCAGATGGTAGTTTCAGAATTTAGTGTAATCGTGAATCCACCCTGCCTTCTATCGACGGTTCAGGCAGGTGGTGGTGTAATGGTGTGGGGGATATTTTATTGGCACTAGCAAGGTGTATATTGAACATCTAAAGGCCAATATTTAATTTTGTTTTTATTAATAGGAAATAATAAAGGATGCATCCATTCGTCTGTGTGTTTAGTCTATGCTGGCCTGCCTAATTACAGTGCCTTGAAAAAGTACTCATACCCCTGGAAATTTTCCACATTTTCTCATGTTACAACCAAAAACGTAAATGTATTTTATTGGGATTTTATGTGATAGACCAACACAAAGTGGAACATAATTGTGAAGTGGAAGGAAAATGATAAATGTTTTCAAAATTTTTTACAAATATCTGAAAAGTGTGGCGTGCATTTGTATTCAGCCCCCTTTACTCTGATACCCCTAACTAAAATCTAGTGGAACTCATTGCCTTCAGACGTCACCTAATTAGTAGAGTCCACCTGTGTGTAATTTAATCTCAGTATAAATACAGCTGTTCTGTGAAGCCCTCAGAGGTTTGTTAGAGAACATTACTGAGCAAACAGCATCATGAAGGCTAAGGAACACACCACACAGGTCAGGGATAAAGTTGTGCAGAATTTGCAGAGTTAGGTTATAAAAAAAAAAATTCCAAGCTTTGAACATCTCACGGAGCACTGTTCAATCCATCATCTGAAAATAGAAAGAGTATGGAACAACTGCAAACCTACCAAGACATGGCTGTCCACCTAAACAGATAGGCCAGGCAAGGACAATATTAATCAGAGAAGGAGCCAAGAGGCCCATGGTAACTCTGGAGGGGCTGCAGAGATCCATAGCTCAGGTGGGAGAATCTGTCCACAGGACAACTATTAGTCGTGCACTCCACAAAAATGGCCTTTATGGAAGTGTGGTAAGAAGAAAGCCATTGTTGAAATAATGCCAAAAGAAGTCCCGTTTGCAGTTTGCAAGAAGCCATGTGGGGAACACAGCAAACATGTGGAAGAAGGTGCTCTGGTCAGATGAGACCAAAATTGAACTTTTTGGCTTAAAAGCAAAATGCTATGTGTGGCAAAAAACTAACACTGCACAACACCCTGAACTCACCATCCCCACCGTGAAACATGGTGATAGTAGCTTTTCTTCAGCAGGGAAACTGGTTAGAGTTGATGGGAAGATGGATGGAACCAATACAGGGCAATCATAGAAGAAAACCTTGTAGAATCTGCAAAACAACTGAGACTGGGTCGGAGGTTAACCTTCCAGCAGGACAACGACTGTAAACATACAGCCAGAGCTACAATTGTAAGTTTAGATCAAAGCATATTCATGCGTTAGAATGGCCCAGTCAAAGTCCAGACGTAAATCCAATTGAGAATCTGTGGCAAGACTTGACAATTGCTGTTCACAGATGCTCTCCATCCAATCTGACAGAGCTTGTGCTATTTTGCAAAGAAGAATGGGCAAAAATGTCCCTCTCTAGATGTGTAAAGCTGGTAGAGACATCCCCAAAAAGACTTGCAGCTGCAATTGCAGCGAATTGTGGTTCTACAAAGTACTGACTCAGGGATGTGAATACAAATACAAGCAGCACTTTTCAGATGTTTATTTGTGAAATAAAACCAAATTGAAAACCATTTATAATTTTCCTTCCACTTCACAATTATGTGCCACTTTGGTCTATGACATAAAATCCCAATAAAATATATTTACTTTTTTGGTTGTAACATGAAAAATTGTGGAAACGTTCAAGGGGAATGAATACTTTTCAAGGCACTGCAAGTCCAGCTCTGCACTTGCTGACTACTCCCATAAACTGATGATCTACACCAAATATGACAACCTGGTTTGTTTGGTTTTTTTTTTTCCTGTTCAATTTTGGTGGTGGCACATTCTCTTTGTGGCCCTCAGCTGTTCCCCAATTCAAAAATAGCAGCAATTTTGCAGCTGAATGCTTCAAAAAGCTTTTCAAGGTCCTGTTCTCTGGGATAAAACATTGTAAGTCGCAGTTGTTGGAATAATGTTGCATACCAAAGTTCTAGAATCTTTTTTCAGCAAATAAAAGGTCTGGAATTAAAACAGTGCAAATACAAGAGAATGTATTCACTGCTTCCAAAGATTGGTCAGCTACAAGTAAGCAATTTACACAAATAAATAGAATATATGCTGGGGAAGGTGGATCAAAACTAAGGACAAGGACTAGCAACTGCAAAATTATGACAATCAAATTAAAATGCAAACCTTTAAAAAAAAAAAAAAAAAAAAGAATAATTTGTGCGCAGATAAATATAAGCATGCCAATAGGTCACACTAAATTATAAACATGTTAAAGGCTAGTTGTATTGTATAGTCTTCATCAGTTATTGTTCTCTAGCAAAGACACACTATTGATCTCCACTCTCTAACACTTGCCCTCCAGAAGATTTACCCCTCTTCATGACCAGGCCATTTTTTGCGATATGGCACTGCTTTATTTTAAGTGACAATTGCGCAGTCATGCAATGCTGTACAAAAATTAAATTGTCATTTTTTTCCCCCACAAATAGTTTTCATTTGGTCGCATTTGATCACCACTGGTTTTTTTTATTTTTTGCGATAAGAAAAAAAAAACAAAAAAACCCAATATTTTTTACTTTCTGATGTAAAACATCCAATAAAAATGTAAAAAAAAAATCTAATTTTGTCATAAATTTAGGCCACAAAAAAAATCCCAAAAAGCGTATACGGACTGGTTTGCGCACAAGTTATAGTGTCTACAAACTATGGTATATATATATTGGAGTTTTTTAAAATACTAGTAATGGCGGCTATCAGCAACTTATAGCTGGACTTTGATATTGTGGTGAAAAGTCTGACACTAACTGACACTTTGTGCCTGGAAACCTTCGTCATAGAAAGATTTTTCAGTACACCTGAACCATCCTAGGATATTCATGAATGATTGTGTTCACCGTTCCCACAGAAAGATTTGTCTTTTGTGCAATTGCGCAACATGGTATGCATCGATTATCAAGGATTAGGCATTCTATGAGCCGCATGTTCACAGGAATGATTGCTGTGGGCTGGGAACCACCGCAGCCGGGATCATCACTGACGGACATACGGCCATCTCTACTGCTACTGAGCAGCTCATCACTGTACTGTGCTTGAAGTCTTCTGTAGAAATCAATGGGTTTTACGCCTTCTTTCACAAGAGACTCCATCACCACATGCTGTTCCATGCACGCACTAACACTGTTGTCTGCCATCTTGATTAACGGTCTCTGGACTGGCCTGTGACATGTGTGCCACCTATCAGTAAAAGGACACACTTCCCACTTACTACTGTGTGTAGTAACACTACGCTAGCATTCCTTTTTTATACCTGGAAAATTAAAAGCCCCGGTTTGACTTGAACGCGCTCCCCCATATAATGATTCATATTTGAAAAGGTGGACTTGGCCTTTAAACACATTTACGGTGACAAAGCAGCCAAACTGTGCCTTTACTTGTGTGTTCTGTTTCATGAACAAGATTGGTTTATTAGTCTTTAAAAGCTACTCAATAAGTTCCAGACTGAATGTTGTACAAGGACAGTGTCAGATGTTACCCTGCACTTTATTGGTGCTCCAGGGTACAAAAAGGGTGTTGGGGAGCATACACTGAAAGAACCAGATGCTTCTATAGTGTTTTTTTTTTTTTCATAGTATTTAAACTTTGAAGTCTACAAGGAGATAAGACCAAGAAAGTACACCTCTCAGTCCTGGAACTGTACTCACCTGACATGTTTACCCTGCTCTTTCAGCTGTTTCACTAGATCAGCAATGGGGTACTGAGCTTTAGCAGCACACAGTCCATAACCTGAAAAAAATCCAAAGAAACATAAGGTTAAAAGAACAGCCTGGTCAAACTTGAAAGTACATCTTTCAAATGAATGCAAAAAGACACATCTTATCTGACTATTCCATTTATTATACTTTCTAGCCAGCCCTATGCTGAAACCTCTATACTACCAGTAAATTGGTATTTTGAGAATACCATGTCCTGAGCCTTGTGGATGTGCACACCAAGAATTCCATGTCCCTGCAGTTGCATGGCACAGCAGCATTACAGATTTGCCTATAAGTTCTATAAGCAATTTACTAAATTCGGTTGCATATGCATTATATTAAAGAGAAACTACCTACAAGCAAACCCCCCCCCCCCCTTTACCTGTTATACACCGTATTCCAAATTATTATGCAAATTATATTTTTCTCATTTACCTAAATAATTGATGTAAATAACAGTCAGCATAATTCTCATGTTATCAACTAACAAGAGTACAATTCACATTTTATTGAACAAACCTCCTAATGATAACAGGATTTTTTTTAAACATAAAAACTTACAATGCACGGTTCCAAATTATTACGCACAATAAGTTTCAAAACACTTTATAGGTTGTAAAGAACTAAAAATTGTCATTTGTTGTCTTTGCAGCATATTTACTGAAATTAAAAGCTATTTCAATCAAACTTTTAACATTTTAACTTTTTAAACATTTTTACAGGTCAGGTTATATTGTAACATAGGACCCCTTATTTGATAGCAGCTTCACAAGTCTTGTATCCATTGAACTTGTGAGTTTTTGGACAGTTTCTGCTTGAATTTGTTTGCAAGATGTCAGAATAGCCTCCCAGAGCTGCTGTTTGGATGTAAACTTCCTCATACCCTCACAGATCTTTTGCTTGAGGATGCTCCAAAGGTTCTCAATAGGATTGAGGTCAGGGGATGATGGAGGCCACACCATGACTTTCTCTCCTTTTATCCCCATAGCAGCCATTGATGCAGAGGTATTCTTTGCAGCATGAGATGGTGCATTGTCATGCATGAAGATGATTTTATTACGAAAAGCATAGTTCTTCCTTCTGTACCAGGGAAGAAAGTGGTCAGTCATAAACTCCACATACTTTGCAGAGGTCATCTTTACACCTTCGGGGGCTCTAAAGGGGTCGACCCGTTCTGTTCCCATGATTCTGGACCAAAACATGACTCCACCACCGCCTTGCTGACGTCGCAGCCTTGTTGGAACAGGGTGGCCGTCCACCAACCATCCACTACTCTATCCATCTGGACCATCCAGGGTTGCACGGCACTCATCAGTGAACAGGACTGTTTGAAAATTAGTCTTCATGTATTTTTCTGCCCAATGCAGCCGTTTCTGCTTGTGAGCATTGGGTAGTGGTGGCCGAATAGAAGGTGTATGCATAGTTGCAAGACTCTGGAGGACTCTACACCTTGATGTCCGTGGGACTCCAGAGGCACCAGCAGCTTCAAATATCTGTTTGCTGCTATGTAATGGTATTTTAGCAGGTGCTCTCTTGATCCGATGCATGGATCTGGCAGAAATCTTCCTCAATGTGCCTTTACCTGTACGAACCCGTCTGTGCTCTGAATCAGCCACAAATCTCTTAATAGTGTGATGATCACGCTTACGTTTTCATGAAATATCTAATGTATTCATACCACGCCCAAGGCATTAAACTATTTCACACTTTTCGGCAGCAGAGAGATCCTTTTTCTTCCCCATATTGCTTGAAAATGGTGCTCTGCTTTATAATGTGGAACACTGTCCTTTAGTAGTTTTTCCTTAAATTGGGCTCACCGGCCAATCTAATTATCACAGGTGTCCGTGATTGTTTTCAGTGATCAAAAGAGCCCTGACACACAATGCCATCCATGAGTTAAACTGAAAAACAAAATATTTCATCTTTGTGACACTTAAATAGAATTTGCATAATAATTTGGAACGTGGTGTAATGGTTCGACTTCAATTCACTTACCTATGCACCCAGCAGATCCAGCATTTGTCATGCTGCAATTTACTGTCCAATTGTCCTAGGCCCTGTGCCATCATCTTGGTCCTCCACAGTGTTCATGAGTGGAGATAAGTTGACAGGCACCGCCCATGGCCACTGTTTATAATTATTATACAAGATTTATACAACATGTTTGTCCCTACTCCTGCACCCTCCTTGGATATGTCAAGGGGATACCTTCGGAGGAGTGCCGCATCATTCTTGCCTAGGCAAGGAATGCAGGAGTAGGGGGGGAGAAGAAAAAAATAAAAAAAGCAAATAAAAGGAGTGCAAGGAGTTAAAAATCACTCAGAGAAGTGAAGGTCTGCTTTAAGCAAAGCCTGAAAAGTGGGGGCATCCCTTTATGCCAAAGAAGATTCATCTTCAAACTTGGGGGAGTCCAACATCTGAGGTTGATCACTGAGCTCCTGGCTTGGCACCACATTCAAGCTATGGTGGACGATTTTACCAAGTTTGCAGTGGCAGTAGCGGCCTGAGACCAGGCTGCTGCAAAGGTAGTGTGGAAGCACTTCTGTCTTCCTTCCTTAGATATGCCAAGCTTTATCCTTCTCTGAATAGTGTGACCCCTGTTTTTTTGATTGTCAGTCTTATCTTTGCTTGCTGTCAATGCCTGCCCCATATACACATGGACAGTATAAAATATGCACAAAATGGGGACTCATCTGAATTACTCATACCAGCCCAGTCCCTTCATTTTCATTTGTGTGTAATAACCAGATACTGTGAATAACATAAGCACAGTCACAACCCATCATTTTTCATGTCAATTACCTGGAGTAATGATGATGTTATTGGCTTCCTTTATCATTTCAACTGCACTATCCAGATTGATTTCTGTGTGAGTACCAGTAATTTCCATTGGCTTGCCTCCAGCAGTGGACGTTGTTCCATAGCCACCAAGAATCACATTAGCAAGGGATCGGTTCATAGCCTAGTGAAAGAGAAGAGGCCGGTAAGCAGCGCCAGTTCAGAAAAAAAAAAATTGTATTATATCATTAATGAGCTAATAATTGGCTCTCATACATAATTATGAGCAGTATCAGCAGATTTGACATTTCTGAATTCACTGTGTATAGTCATGTCCATTACAATAAAAAGGACATCATTGTCAAAGAAAGACTTGATGGTTTGGAATCACAAGCATTACTGACAAATGGGATTGGAATATCAACTGTGACAATGCAGTCACAATCTATAATGGGTGTTATACATAACAGATGTTACATTGAGAAAACTGGAGCAACAATTGATAAAAGTATTCCCAAATAACTATCTCAATTTCATGCTACTTTTTCACAGTGTAGGTTACAGAGTAAAAGCGAAATCATAAATGAGTGTCTAGTGTGTTGTCTATAGCAGTGTTTCTCAATTTTTTTCCAGTCAAAGCATCCCTTGAAAAGTATTTTCAGTTCTGAGGCACCCCAACGTTCCCGACACATTGACAAACATGCTCTTTATCAGAAACACAGGGGTATCATTAATTTTGAATGGCACCCCCATGCATTGGCAAGCACAGTGATCCCCTTTGTGTCCTGATTTCCTCTCACCAGGCCCTCAGGGCAGGGCTGCTTTTCTATTATAATCCACAAGGCTGTGGGTGTTTTTGGCCAAGTGGAGTGATTGTTGCCAGACAAGGTACACATATGGCTGGGGCCAGGTGCAGAGTAGGAACCCGGGCACTAAGTAGGATGTTTCGCACACCCCTTCTGTTTCCCCCCCTCCCTGTACCGGGCCAGCCTTGCACTCAGGTACCTCCCTGTAAGGCGAGGCGGAGAGCTAAGGACTTAGGAGTCCACCTCCCTCTTCCACTGTACTTCAGTGCACTGTACCAACTGTGGTTTTGCTGTGCTGTCGATGTACATTCAGTGCAGCAGGAGCTCGGTCAGATCTGACAGCTTTTCTCAACCAGGACACCACCACACCCCTGATGACTTTAAGTGGCATCCCAGTTGAGAAAAGCTGGTTTAAAACAACCAACGTTTTTCTTCGCATTGCAAACCTATGTTTGGACAGTGTCAGTTCGGATCTAACTGACTGCAATGGGCAACAAATATTAGATTTGATATTGTATTGTATAAAAAAAAAAAAAACTAGTAGGTACATTTAGTTTTGGCCATGTTTGCCCCTAGGGTAAGTGTGTGATTTACAGCACTTTCAGCTGAAGAGATCAAAGTAAATAGTTCTAGATGTGAAATACTGGAATTGTATACATAAATTAAACAAATGGGGCATAGTTGGGATGTGAGCTGAGGCGGACGTGCAGCTAAGGAGCTCCAGCCATCCTGTAGTTAATCCGTTGCCATCCGCACTCTGTTGGGACGGTGAGACCCCCTGATCCCCCTGGTCTCTACCCCCCTCCCTCTGCCCCTGCCTACAGGATACTGGGACTTTCAGAAGGTGCGGAAGGTGAGCGGCCAGCTGAATTTGCAGAATCCTTTATTAAGGAAATTCTTGACCCCGTTTCATCAACTTACGCGGTGGAAAGGGCGCACAAGGTACCAACTGGGCGCAACATCCCAGGAAATAATCCATGCCCATTTCTGGTGCGTTTCCTGAATTACCGTGACAGAGATACTGTCCTTTCAGAGGCCAGGAAACACCCTGCTTTACAATTTGGAAATGCTTCCATTATCTTATTCCCGGATTTTTCAGCAGAATTACAGAAGAAAAGGAAAACGTTTACTGGTATTCGCAGACGCCTTCGTGACAAAAATATTAAATTCAGCATGATATATCCGAGTCGCCTTTGTGTGCAGTATGAGGGATCTTCCCGATTTTTTGACTCTCCTACTGAGGTAGATGGATGGCTCTCTGCTCTGCGGTAATCTAGTGGCTCTCTTAGTTGTTGCACCTGCTTGTTTTCACTACTTCACATTCTGCCTTGCATCATCTCCAAGAGGTCTCTCTCTCTGATAGCAGACATTCTCTCTTCCTGGATGACCCTTTCGGTGACTCTCCCGTCTTCTATCAAGCTCCGGATGAGGCTCGGCAGTGACCCAGGGTTTTCACGGCGGAGGTAGTCTTATCGGGTGAACCTTATCCTATGAGAATGGGGGACTGTTCGAGCTACTCCCCTCAGGTGTTCGGCTGATGACCCACTATCCTGTTCTGGAGCTCTATGGTTTGGGCCCATCTAGTTTATGATCTAGTCCCCCACTCAGTTCTTGCCTGAAGACGTCTGGATCTTAAGGCTACCCATTCGTTATAGCCTAGGTGCTATTGTAGGGAAGGACTTTAAGTTCTGTTACGGGTATAAAACTGACCGGTCTGCTTTTGGGGGTTACTGGTCAGTATGGTGGTTCCACTATGGTTTTAAGTTAAGTATCTTTAATTTTGATCATGACAACCGTGCTCTCCTCAGGTTTCTATTGTGGCAGAATTTGAAGTTTTTATGGTCAATGAAGGGTTCTGGTGGCCCCTCTCACAGGCTTATGGCCTTCTTTCCTACTGGATCCTCACCTCCTCCTTTTCTTTTTGATTACTTGAATAGTTCATGGCCCTCCCTCAATTTTTTCACAACTTTGGCTTTTTATGGAGCTTAAAGTGATCTCATGGAATGTACAAGGTCTAAACCACAAAATCAAACGGTCCCTAATGTTCAAATTTCTCCAAACTCATAAACCAAATATTCTTTTTTGCAAGAAAACTCATCATCTCCTGGGTAATAAAATATTATCCCTTCACAGAGCCTGGGTTCAGCAGGCTTTCCATGCCACGTATTCTAGCTACGCGAAAGGGGTAGCCATACTCTTGAATAAATCCTTACAGTGTACTGTAGTGAAGGTATGTTTAGACCCTGGGGTAGATTTATTATATTGATCCTAGAGATTCATAATGTGAAATATGCTTTTGTTAATGTTTACTTGCCACCGCCTTTTTCTTCTGAGGTATTATATAAGCTACAGAAGAGGTTGGCTCCATTACAGGTCTCTGAGGTTATTATTGCTGGACACTTTAATACGGTACTTGACGTCTCCTTAGACTCCTCGAATCCTAGGAGAACCATCTGCCCGGATTTGGAGATATGGTCCCAGGCCTTTGGTTTGACTCAGCTGTGGAGGCTTCAACACCCTGGTGAACATTACTACTCACGTTTTTCGGCAACCCATAGGTCGGCCTCTTGGACTGACCTTGCATTCGGATCATGCTCATTATGCAGATCGGTGAGCAAGGTTCCTTTTTTGCCGGCAGGTATCTCTGATCATTCCCCATTGGAGAGGACGTTGAAGTTGGGATACGGGAAACACCCGGGACGCTGGAGGCTGGATCCTAATTGGATCCACAGTCAAAAGGTTCAGGAGTTGTAATCTGAGTCCTGCTCTCAATTCTGGAGGGTAAATGACCAGTCGACCTTCCCTCTGCTAGTGTGGAATGCTTTTAAAGCTTAAGGACAATATATCTCGGCTATTAAATCAGCAAGGAAGGATTTCACCAGTGTTACCTCGGTGTTGGAACGCAACGTGTCCAATATGGTTTCTGGATTCGAAAACTTCCCCACCAAGGTTAACTATGCGAGGTTGGCTGTGGCCCACAGGGACCTGGAACTTCACTTTACGTCCCTGTCCCATGCAGATGCGGCGATTCTCGCAGGCAGATTATTTGAATCTGGCGATAAAAATGGTATGATGTAGGCAAATTTGGTGGCTGACTCCCATCAACAGACGATAATTCCCCAATTTTTGTCCTCTACGGATGACCTCCTTTTAGAGCATTCCCATATCGTGCAGGAATTCAGAAGTTATTTTCAGTCACTTTATAGTCCCCGCTCCTCTCCAGATCCCATTGTTTTGGGGGACAGGTTGCGGAGGCTTTCCTTGCCACGATTGTCGTAAAATGAAGCTACAGATCTTGATAAAGAAATCGCCATCCCTGAAATTGAGGCCGCTATCCGTTCATTCCCACTTAATAAAACCCCTGGGCCGGATGGCTTACCTGGCGATTGGTATAAATTGCATATTTCGGATATGGCGCAGCATCTCTGTGATCTCTTTAAGGAAAGTTTTACTCAGGGAGCCCTCCCCCCCTTCATGTATCAGGCCCATATTGTCTTGATCCCAAAGCCTGGTAAAGATCCTCTACGCTGTTCCTCCTAGAGACCTATATCACTTTTGAATTATAATTTTGACCAAAATATTAGCCAAGAGGTTGATGAAACTCCTTCCCTCTCTCCTAAGTACAGATCAGACTGGGTTTGTCCCTGGGAAATTGACTGATATTAACTTGCGATGCGTTTTGTCGCATATTCAACTTCCTTCGGCAGAGTCATCCTCTCGGTTGATGGTAATGCTAGACGTTGAAAAGGCATTTGACTCTGTCGACTGGATTTATGTGTCTAAAGTATTAGAGGTGATGGGCTTTGGCCAACATTTTAGCTCCTGGATAAGTATTTTATATAGTGATCCCCAAGCACAGATTAAATTAGGTGGCAACCTTTCCGACTCAGGCTCAGGCCTTGTGTTTGTTCCCCGAGGTTCGGGACATACAGGTGGGCACTACTATTAAGAAAGTGGCTCTGTACGCGGATGACTTGGTGTTCTTTCTCCATGACCCAGGTCCATCTCTTAAGGCGGCCTTGGCCTTGATTTCCAACTTTTCACCATTGTCGGGACTGAGGGTCAACTGGGATAAATCTCAAATCCTGCCTATAGACCTAGAAGCCAGAACCTTGATTGACCCTGACATCCCTTTGCAGTGGGCTTCCATAGTGTAATACCTGGGTATTATGGTCTCATCAAACCCCTTAGATTTCTGTAGGCTTAATTTAGTCAAAATGAAGCACCTTCCTCTACGTACTCCGGCATACTCCAATTTGGATCCCACGGAAATACTTTAAACAATTTGATGCTGCAATGGTCTGTTTCCTGTGGGGTTCAAAGCAACCAAGATTTAAATTAAAGGTGTTGCAGAGACCTTGGACTGGGGGAGGGGGGG